CTGGATATCAACCCACTTGATCCTCTAGCACCCAGGAAGATATTAATCCTTCCTGGATATCAACCCACTTGATCCTCTAGCACCCAGGAAGATATTAATCCTTCCTGGATATCAACCCACTTGATCCTCTAGCACCAGGAAGATATTATCCTTCCTGGATATCAACCCACTTGATCCTCTAGCACCCAGGAAGATATTATCCTTCCTGGATATCAACCCACTGATCCTCTAGCCCCACAGGAAGATATTAATCCTTCTTATCAACCCACTTGATCCTCTAGCACCCAGGAAGATATTAATCCTTCCTGGATATCAACCCACTTGATCCTCTAGCACCCAGGAAGATATTAATCCTTCCTGGATATCAACCCACTTGATCCTCTAGCACCCAGGAAGATATTAATCCTTCCTGGATATCAACCCACTTGATCCTCTAGCACCCAGGAAGATATTAATCCTTCCTGGATATCAACCCACTTGATCCTCTAGCACCCAGGAAGATATTAATCCTTCCTGGATATCAACCCACTTGATCCTCTAGCACCCAGGAAGATATTAATCCTTCCTGGATATCAACCCACTGATCCTCTAGCACCCAGGAAGATATTAATCCTTCCTGGATATCAACCCACTTGATCCTCTAGCACCCAGGAAGATATTAATCCTTCCTGGATATCAACCCACTTGATCCTCTAGCACCCAGGAAGATATTAATCCTTCCTGGATATCAACCCACTTGATCCTCTAGCACTCAGGAAGATATTAATCCTTCCTGGAAGACGGCTTTCAAGAGCCTCCAGCACTATAGGCTGATGTTCATCCTTCATGGAATTCGACCCAGGGCCTTCAGGTCCTGAATCCATCCCAAATTGGGACTCACCACGGCCCAGCAAGCCTTCATTCCAAGGTTTGTCAAGATCATATCATGGACCTTGAAGAAATCTGCTGATCCACGCAGCAGGATTTCCACACCGCCAAGAAAACGGGGGATATAACAAGAAAGAAAGTTTATTATTTCCGATCAAGGGGGAATTAACTGCCTGGATTTTTATGGGGAACTGCGATAGTCAGAGAGAAATATGTCTTGACCTTCACTTTCCACCGCTCTTACCTGATTGGCTGGGAAACATGTGCTTGGACATTTTATGAGACGTTCTGGGCGTATACATGTTGCAGGAATGTGCAAGTGTTACCACATGTCCGTATGTTGCACGAATGGGCAAGTGTTACCACATGTCCGTATGTTGCACGAATGGGCAAGTGTTACCACATGTCCGTATGTTGCAGGAATGTGCAAGTGTTACCACATGTCTATATGTTGCAGGAATGTGCAAGTGTTACCACATGTCCGTATGTTGCACGAATGTGTGTGTGTTGCCAAGTCTCCATATGTTGTAGGAATGGACGGCAGTGTTGCCAAGTCTCCATATGTTGTAGGAATGGACGGCAGTGTTGCCAAGTCTCCATATGTTGTAGGAATGGACGGCAGTGTTGCCAAGTCTCCATATGTTGCAGGAATGGACGGCAGTGTTGCCAAGTCTACATATGTTGCAGGAATGGACGGCAGTGTTGCCAAGTCTCCATATGTTGCAGGAATGGACAGCAGTGTTGCCAAGTCTACATATGTTGCAGGAATGGACGGCAGTGTTGCCAAGTCTCCATATGTTGCAGGAATGGACGGCAGTGTTGCCAAGTCTCCATGTGTTGCAGGAATGGACGGCAGTGTTGCCAAGTCTCCATATGTTGCAGGAATGGACGGCAGTGTTGCCAAGTCTCCATGTGTTGCAGGAATGGACGGCAGTGTTGCCAAGTCTCCATGTGTTGCAGGAATGGACGGCAGTGTTGCCAAGTCTCCATATGTTGCAGGAGAACATGAAGACGAAGGACCGTCAACAGGTCGTCAGGTTATTACGCTTGTTGACGCGTCTCAAGAAGCAACGCTCAATATACAACGTTTATTATACAATTTTGTGTACATATTTTATCGGAGATGGTCGGTGTTGTCTACCAGGAAAAATGACTCACATGTTGCTTTTTCTCTCTGACGGGATATGTTTGAGGTTTTATATCTATCAATATCTATAAGTAATATATATCTATCATAGACTATGTATTCTGTTCTGGATAAAATCATTAGTTGTTCATTCGCGCTAAAAGTTTGTAATTATTGTTTACTATGGTTGAAGTGAAAGTATATAAGTATTTAAGGGGGGGGGGGTATTAAAAGTATCAACACAAGACAGAACACGAAACTATGGGTATAAATTAAATAAGTTCAAATTTAGGAAAGACCTGGGTAAATACTGGTTCAGTAACAAGGTTGTTGATTTATGGAACCAATTACCGCGTGACGTAACAGAAGTACGGTCCCTTGATTGTTTCAGGCATAGGTTAGACATGCATATGAATGAGTATGGGTGGATATAAATATTAGCTGCCTCGTATGGGGCATTAGGCCTTCTGCAGTTACCTTCATTCTTATGTTCGTTGGTGCGCGGGTTAACGAGTGTCTTGGGCTGATGTGTTGGACGTACAAGTACGTCTGTGTTTGTTTACAAGGAGTCACAGCCAGAAGTTTGCTGTTATATAGCAAAGCTCCAGTGCTGAGGGTGGCACAGAAGTGGTTGAGGCACTGTGTCACACTGCTTCACACTCTGCTTCACACTCTGCCTCACACTCTGCTTCACACTCTTTTCCGGAGGATCAACTCTTTTCCAAAGGACCCTTTCCTAGCTTACTCTTTTTTTCCAGAAGACCGGTTTCCACAGGGTCTTTGTCTGAGGACCCTTTTCCAGAGGACATGCCGAGGACCTTATCCAGAAGGTCTTGTTCAGAGGACCTTTACCAGAGGGTCTTGTTCAGAGGACCTTTACCAGAGGGTCTTGTTCAGAGGACCTTTTCCAGAGGGTCTTGTTCAGAGGACCTTTTCCAGAGGGTCTTGTTCAGAGGACCTTTTCCAGAGGGTCTTGTTCAGAGGACCTTATCCAGAAGCTCTTGTTCAGAGGACCTTTACCAGAGGGTCTTGTTCAGAGGACCTTTACCAGAGGGTCTTGTTCAGAGGACCTTTTCCAGAGGGTCTTGTTCAGAGGACCTTTTCCAGAGGGTCTTGTTCAGAGGACCTTTTCCAGAGGGTCTTGTTCAGAGGACCTTTTCCAGAGGGTCTTGTTCAGAGGACCTTTTCCAGATAGTCTTGTCCAGAGGATTATTTTATTTTCCAGATGAGTATTTTCCAGAGGACCTTTTTCCAGTGAAATATTTTCCAAAGAACAGTTCTAGTGGAACCATTTCCAGAAATGCCCTTGAGTTCTAAAGAAGGTGCTGCTTCCTGCTTCATGTTGACGTACGTTCCTGCAACGGATCTTGTCGAATTACCTAAGGCTCTGCTTAGGTAGCGGGGAGCAAAGTAGCTTAGGTAGCAAGACCCGCTACCTAAGGCTGTGCTTGATGTAGCGCATCAACGCATAGCAAAACACATTACTCAAGGAAGTGCGTTTTGCGTTCCAGTACCGAGCAGCGTAGCTGGAAGTGCTAGTTCCTGAGGGAAAGTGAGATGTAGGTAAGTTCTCTCACCAGTTGAGGGATGTTGAGATGTAGGTAAGTTCTCTCACCAGCTGAGGGAAGTTGAGATGTAGGTAAGTTCTCTCTACACCTGAGCCAACTTAACACCTTCCTACAAGCCACCTCGCCGCCCTTATCACAATTTATGGAAATAAGATTCTCTCCTTGGGCGGCGCTGCGCCCTCCAAGCTTACGTCTTAAGCTGTTGCAGCTTTACCAGCGTACTTTAGCTAAGATATTATTTAAGACTGGAAACAATATTTATGTTACAGACTCGCGCTGCCTCAGAATGTTATTAAATGTAATATAAATTGGATAAGTTCAGATTTAGGAAAGACCTGGGTAAATACTGGTTCATACTTCAGTGTAATATACTCTGTGTCACACTGTGTGTGAGTGTGGGAGGGTGTGTGGGCAGATGTCTGCTTGGAGTGTGTTGTGCTTGCTGGGGTTGAGCTCTGGTTCTTTGGTCCCGCCTCTCAGCTGTCAGTCAACTGGTGTACAGACTCCTGAAGTGTGGTGACGGTGCTTGCTGAACACAAACTTTCCTCTCGTGTTTTAATTTTGGAAACTGCCGGCTCTTTATAAGCGCCTTAGTGTTCCTGGGATTACTCTTTGATGCGCTGTTGGTGTGGGGTTAATATCTCTGCTGCTGTGTGCCCCAGGGAAGGAAAGCTTTAGTTTTGTTCTCTCTTTTGTTCTGCAGTGATCGTGTGTGTGTGTGGAGGGGGGGGGAGGTGTTGCGTAGTGTGTGTGACTGTGGGAGGGTGTCACTAAGAGACTGTGACTGTGGGAGGGTGTCCTTAAGTGACTGTGACTGTGAGAGGGTGTCCTTAAGTGACTGTGACCGTGGGAGGGTGTCCTTAAGTGACTGTGACTGTGAGAGGGTGTCCTTAAGAGACAGTAACTGTGGGAGGGTGTCCTTAAGTGACTGTGACTGTGAGAGGGTGTCCTTAAGTGACTGTGACCGTGGGAGGGTGTCCTTAAGAGACAGTAACTGTGGGAGGGTGTCCTTAAGAGACTGTAACTGTGGGAGGGTGTCCTTAAGAGACTGTAACTGTGGGAGGGTGTCCTTAAGTGTGTGACTGTGGGAGGGTGTCCTTAAGAGACTGTAACTGTGGGAGGGTGTCCTTAAGTGACTGTGACTGTGGGAGGGTGTCCTTAAGAGACTGTGACTGTGGGAGGGTGTCCTCAAGAGACTGTGACTGTGGGAGGGTGTCCTTAAGAGACTGTGACTGTGGGAGGGTGTCCTCAAGAGACTGTGACTGTGGGAGGGTGTCCTCAAGAGACTGTGACTGTGGGAGGGTGTCCTCAAGAGACTGTGACTGTGGGAGGGTGTCCTCAAGAGACTGTGACTGTGGGAGGGTGTCCTCAAGAGACTGTGACTGTGGGAGGGTGTCCTCAAGAGACTGTGACTGTGGGAGGGTGTCCTCAGAGACTGTGACTGTGGGAGGGTGTCCTCAAGAGACTGTGACTGTGGGAGGGTGTCCTCAAGAGACTGTGACTGTGGGAGGGTGTCCTCAAGAGACTGTGACTGTGGGAGGGTGTCCTTAAGTGACTGTGACTGTGGGAGGGTGTCCTCAAGAGACTGTGACTGTGGGAGGGTGTCCTTAAGAGACTGTGACTGTGGGAGGGTGTCCTTAAGTGACTGTGACTGTGGGAGGGTGTCCTTAAGAGACTGTGACTGTGGGAGGGTGTCCTTAAGAGACTGTGACTGTGGGAGGGTGTCCTTAAGTGACTGTGACTGTGGGAGGGTGTCCTTAAGAGACTGTGACTGTGGGAGGGTGTCCTTAAGAGACTGTGACTGTGGGAGGGTGTCCTTAAGTGACTGTGACTGTGGGAGGGTGTCCTCAAGAGACTCTGACTGTGGGAGGGTGTCCTCAAGAGACTGTGACTGTGGGAGGGTGTCCTTAAGAGACTGTGACTGTGGGAGGGTGTCCTTAATAGACTGTGACTGTGGGAGGGTGTCCTTAAGAGACTGTGACTGTGGGAGGGTGTGCTCAAGAGACTGTGACTGTGGGAGGGTGTCCTCAAGAGACTGTGACTGTGGGAGGGTGTCCTTAAGAGACTGTGACTGTGGGAGGGTGTCCTTAATAGACTGTGACTGTGGGAGGGTGTCCTTAAGAGACTGTGACTGTGGGAGGGTGTCCTTAATAGACTGTGACTGTGGGAGGGTGTCCTTAAGAGACTGTGACTGTGGGAGGGTGTCCTTAATAGACTGTGACTGTGGGAGGGTGTCCTCAAGAGACTGTGACTGTGGGAGGGTGTCCTCAAGAGACTGTGACTGTGGGAGGGTGTCCTCAAGAGACTGTGACTGTGGGAGGGTGTCCTCAAGAGACTGTGACTGTGGGAGGGTGTCCTTAAGAGACTGTGACTGGGAGGGTGTGCTCAGAGACTGTGACTGTGGGAGGGTGTCCTCAAGAGACTGTGACTGTGGGAGGGTGTCCTCAAGAGACTGTGACTGTGGGAGGGGTGTCCTCAAGAGACTGTGACTGTGGGAGGGTGTCCTCAAGAGACTGTGACTGTGGGAGGGTGTCCTCAAGAGACTGTGACTGTGGGGAGGGTGTCCTCAAGAGACTGTGACTGTGGGAGGGTGTCCTCAAGAGACTGTGACTGTGGGAGGGTGTCCTCAAGAGACTGTGACTGTGGGAGGGTGTCCTCAAGAGACTGTGACTGTGGGAGGGTGTGCTCAAGAGACTGTGACTGTGGGAGGGTGTGCTCAAGAGACTGTGACTGTGGGAGGGTGTGCTCAAGAGACTATAACTAGTGGGTGCACAAGAATGTCAGAACTCTTGTATACATCTAAACACAAAGTATTAGACAGGAGGTGAGGAGGAAGAGTTACCAGCACCCAGTCATCATGGACAAGGGGTGTCGGAGAGCCTGTGAAGGGGTGACAGCTCGTCTTCCTACCCTCGACATTTGAGGTTAAAGTGATTGGTTGTAGAAGTGCCACACTGTATAATTTAGTAAGAGCCACAAGGAGGATTCGACCCCGTACACTTGGTACTGCCAAGCACAGCCTTAGTGTGCCACAACCTTCTAATGCTTTGTTCGTTTACTGGCGGGATTTCGACCATCCTGTGGCTTGCAGTAATGCTAAAGCTTTGACTTAAAGAAAGGTTTTTATAAACATAAATGTACTTGAATTTAGCATAACTAAACATAGGAAAAATAATTTGAATTTGAGTTTGGGAATGTATAAAATTGATGGTCCCCTATGTATATATATATAGGAGGTCTGACGGCTGTGTGGACAGCGCTCGGGATTCGTAGTTCTAAGGTTCCGGGTACGATCCCCGGCGGAGGCGGAAACAAATTGGCAGAGTTTCTTTCACCCTGATGC